CGTACAAGCAAAATGGGCAAGAGTTTTAGTTAAATAACCACTCGCAGTTGATGCTGAGCTGGAATTTGGATTGTAATTTCCTGCTTTCTGAAGAAAAAAAAGCCTGTGGGATTGCTGTGAAATGAAATTGCTCCCAGGAGGCATGCAAGTGCTGCAGCACTTGCTCTAGATCATCTGAGCTTAACAGAAGCTCCAGCGTCCACTTAAGATCTCAAGTAACCAGTTTTGGCCACGACACCAGAGAGATCCAACTAGCTCCAGCCAGCTCATGCAGAAATGAGCATCTTTTACAGGAAAAAAGCTTAGGACACGAAGCACATCCTAGCAGCAGCCAGGCTGGAGCAGAAGGTCAGCTTAGAAACGACAGTAAACAGCTCAGGATGCTACAAACAGGCTCCAGGTTCTCCCACCATCCACCTTCTCCACCACCCTGTTCCTTCTCCTGCACAACGAAGGTGGGAGAGAACCCATGCCCAGATGGCTTCCTGCTGGAGTGCCTCTACTCCAGGTTAGAGTTTCTGTTGCTATCTTTGCTCAGGGTAAGGAGGAGTCTCTGAGTCAGTGTTCTTGCAGTGCCTCTTGCTGTCAGGTCCTGCCCCGAGGTCCAGACCCTACTCAGCCTGGGGGTTGGCGAGCGCTGCACCTCCTGGACCTCCGTGGGATTGGTGCCTGCTTGCTTCAAAGGCAAATCTTACCCTGTGTTTATACCAGGCTACGAGGCATGAAGAGGCCCAGGAGGTCATGCATCCACCACTGTAATTTCAGGCAGGATCAAACAGAGAAGCAACAGCTGGGCTGAGTGAGCAAGTCCACGTTTAATTACAAATGGGGCTGGCAATAAGCAAAGGCAAGAACAAAGCTAGTGAAAAACCTCCCTCCTTCTTCCTGGCTCCTGCTCAGGCTGTGAAGAAACAGCTTCTTAGAGGAGTAGCTCAAATAAGCTTCAAGAAGCTTTGTTTTCAGGACTGCTACAGCAGCCCCATTCCTTGTGCTTTGACAGACTTGGACTGGGTACAGAGTTAGTTGAAAGCAGCCCTAAAGAGAAGGACTTCAGGGTGCTGACTGAAGAGAAGCTTAACATGAGCCAGCAGCGTGCTCATGCAGCCCAGATGCCAACCACATCCTGGGGTGCATCAAGAGAGGTGATTCTGCCCATTTACTCTGCTCTTGTGAGACCCAGCTCAAACAATGCATCCAGTTCCGGTGTCCCCACCAGAAAAGGGATGTAGATCTGCTGGTACAAGTCCAGAGGAAGCCACAAAGTTGATCCAGGGGTTGGAGCATCTCTGCTCTGAGGACAGACTGAGGGCACTGGGATTGCTCAGCCTGGAGAAGAGAAGACTCTGGGGAGACCTTAGAGCTGCCTCAAATACCTCCAGGAAGGCTGAAGAGGGACTTTTCACAAGTGTGTCCAGCAACAGGACAAGGGGAGATGGTTTTAAACCAAAGGAGAAGAGCTTTAGACTGGATCTTAGGAAGAAGTTCTTCAGTAGGAGGGTGGCCAGACTCTGGACTAGATTGCCCAGAGCAGCTGTGGATGCCCCTCCTTGGAGATGTTCAAGGCCAGGCTGGATGAGGCCCTGAGCAACCTGGTCTAGTTGAGAGGCATCCCTGCCCATGGCAGGGAGGTTGGATGAGATGATCTCTAGGGTCCCTTCCAACCTCAGCCATTCTCTGATTCTGTGCCAGCTGCTGGCACTGAAGGGCTCAGGTCCCTACAGGTGCCCGGGGTGCAGCTCAACCCCCTCCTCGCTATCTCTTACATCACCCCTGCACAGCTACACACACACAGAGTCACTCTGCAGTCAGCTGCAGGGAGGATTTTGTTTGCTTTAACATCCTCTGAAGATGAAATGGTGGTTGCACAACTGGATTGCCAGCACCATAGATGATGGCCCCAGCTTGTGGGTCCTGCCTGGCCTGGGGAGGGAGCAGGACGTAGCTTTTGGAGCAGCAGGATGCCCATGGAGCTTCCTGACCCTTCTATCAGGTCATGCACTTGGAGTCAGGAGCTACTCTTGCTGCTCCTAGAAGGCCCAGGAGTGTTGGTGAGGAAAGAAAATGAGACTAAAACAGGCAAGAAAGCTTAGCGTTGTGGGTGGAAGGCTTTTTCTGAATGCTGGGAGCCTTCCTCCCATTTTTTTGTGGCAGCAAAAGGGATCCCTGCATCCTCTCATCACATCCAATACCTTTTGAAAGCATCAGTGAGAGCCCTAGTGACCCAAAAGCACAAGAGAAGCTTGGCTGGAACACAGCATCAACCCCACACCCCTGCAACAAACCTAGCCCCACTGCTGACAAGCTGCTGCCCAGCTGGATGTCGTGAGGGGGACACATAATGGGAATAATGGGGAGGCTGGGAAACCATCCCGTCCCTGGGAACCAAAGGCTTCTGACCTTTCTAGCAAAGCCTGCTGAGAGAATTGGGTGGGTTGTTCTGTACTCCTGGTTTTAATTACAGCCAAGTGTTTAAGTTCTTCCCCTCCAACCGCCCCCGTGTCCCTCACGAGCACAAATCCAGCTTTTTATAGCACATCCGGTAGGGATGTTCCAGGCGTTTGGGAAATGCACTTTCAGCCCCAAAACATGCCTTCCCCTGGATCATGTTAGGCTGCCAGGGTTTGTAACATGGAGATGTGGAATGGGATGTTTGGGTTTGTGACCGCTGCTTTCCTGGATTACTTCTGTTTAGAGAAGGGAAATGAGACCAATGCGGGCTAGGCTGGCTGCATCCCGAAATAATGCAAGGTGAAGAAAGAAAAGCCAGGTGGAAAGGCCACTCTCAGCTTCTTCAATCTCCTGTACACAAGGCAAGGCTCTCTTTTTTCTTCACTTTTATTTTAAATAGCTGACAATGGCTCAGAGCACGGTGGGATCCTAGACATGACTCCGGACACCCAGCTCACAGGCTTTTCACCACCTTCTAAGGACACTGACCCAGACTGGGCTTCTCTTGAGAGAAAAATGCTCCCTCTTCCCCAAACCTTCTATTTTAAGTAGCCAAAAGCCATCAGTGAAGAACCATCAGGCCACACCAGGCTCTGTCAGTCCCCAGACACTGCTCTGGCACGTCACCAAGGCTTGTGGCTCTTTGCTCCAGAGGAGCAGGGCTTGGACAATAGCTTGGCTCCAAGTCCCAGAGCTGGCCTTTGTAATTTTCTTAACATAAGAGCCTGGCCTCTGGCTTTAAGGAACATGGCAAGCCTCTCGGGAATACTCTCACCTGAAAATACCCTGGCTGACTTCCCAGCTGGAAGCACCTCCTGAGCCCAAAGGCAAACACCTTGGCTGGCAGTCTCAGGGCTCCGTCTCGGATACTATCCCGAAGTTGAAGACTCCTTGGAGCACTCTCAGAGCAGAAGTCACACACTAGGCTGCCCCAAAGCATCTCCTGCTAAACCCTCAGGAGCACCGAGCTGCTCCACACATCCATGAAGACGCCACTGCTGCAGCATCACTGCCCAAGCCCCAGGCATCCAGCAGCAGGTTGGGGAAGGGAAGATGCACGGGGCTTCACAGCACCAGGGTTTGCTACTTGGAAGGAAGGCAAGACAGACAAGCCCAGGGTATTTTCCCCTCCCTTCTCCACAGCCAAACAGACCACCTCATACTCTGGGCAAGCTACTGTCAGTACGACATCACCCATCAGCAAGCTGAACGACAACCTGATGAAGCTACTTCCAAAATAATCACAATGGAGCCCTTGAACTTGTTGTTTCTTATTTAGATATTTATTCCATTTTTTTCTGTATTTGATATGGATTCCTCACTTCAGATACCTGCAGCAATGACTCACAGTGGGCTCTGGCTGTTTCTGCTGAGCCATCAGAGCTCCAGCACAAGCAGCCACGCACCTTGGTAACGTCTGGGCTGTGCAGGCCCGCTGGCCACCCACCCCCTCGCCTGGGCCAGTAAGATACAGGAGGGAACACGCCTCTCAGGAAGGTGAGCAGACCATGGGGCTTTCCTGGTGAAAACCAAACCTGCCTGCACTCCGGGCAGCAGAGCAGTTGCTGGGGGAATTCACTAGAAGGCAGGTTTGAAGCCCTTGGACCACCAGCAAGGAGCTGCCACCCAAACCACCTCTGTGGCCACACGGATTGAACAAAACTGCAGCCCAACTCCAGGCAAGTTTTTTCCAGCACAAAGAACCATCTGCCCCATTTAGGTTAGAATGAATGAGCTCTGCAGGGATGAACCCTTGCGTAGCAGGAACTTAACTCATGCTGGAGAACTGCTCTTTGGCAGACAGGAAGGACAAGGTGTTTACTTGATGGGTGTTGCTTCTATGTGACCGAATCATACGCAGCTTATGTCTTATAAACACAATATAGAAAAATATAAATGCAAGTGACTGACTTCAAAATCCTTGCTGGAAGCCAGAGGAGTCTCCTCTATTCCTAAGGAGTGGATTATCTCCCCAGATCAAAATCAGAGTACCATGTCAGATGCACAGAAGACCTGACCTCTTTCTATCTTGGGCAAGCATTATGATTGTCTCAGAATTAAGTGTCAGAACTTCAACAGAAAGCAACAAATTCACATTGATGTTCTCTAATATTTCAGAGGCGAAACCATCTCTTGTTCAAATGCTCCCCCAAAGTTTATAAGCAGCCACATCCCAACCTGCCATGGCTTTTTCCCAAGAAGTACCTCCCAGAGGAAGCTCAGGCAGGCTCAGGCACGTTCTTCAGCTACCTACAGTTTCATCAGGCTGCACAAAGACTTTCACAACAATATTTCCTTGCTAGGACAAACGATTTATGAGGATTGAGAAATTCAAGCCTGAATCTACAAAAGTGAGCCACTGAGACTCAAGGGTCACTCCCTCTGCTTCCCTCTCCCCCAGACCATCACCCTTTCCAGGCCTGGTCTTGCTCACACTCAAATCCTGAAAAAAACCAAATACCCATTAGCTTAAATATCCCAGAGCCTCTATGGACCTGAGTGTTGTCTTCTCACTAAGGGTCCTTTCCTGGGCAGAAAACCCATGTACTCACCCAGAGCCTGTCGGGAGGGAAGCTGGAGCTGAGGACTGCCATTTCTCCTGCTGCTTCAGAAAAGCTTTTGCTTCTTTTGAGGTGGAGTCCACTTCTTTAGTCACTCTGTTGGAGGAAAAGAGACAAAGCAGAGGGTAAGGAAGAGCTGCAGTCACAGCAGCAAAACCAAAGATCCTGGCAAGCAAAAAAAAAAAAAAAGCAGGTAAAAGGGTCCTCACAGCACCTGCATGGAGATCACCTCCAGCAGCTGTCTTGTTACAATTTCATTCCAGTGACAAACTCCCCTCTATTCCTGGCAGAAAGAAAGGAAAAGAGTAGCTAATTAGAGCTATGGGAGGAGGGGATTTTCTTTTTTCCCTTCAAACAAACAGGAATGCTTATTCATTCAAACGGGCCCGTCTCACTGGCAGCTCCTAAACACTCTGTTCAGGTCACTGGGGGCAATTTCAGGCTCTTAATTGGGCTCTTGATTTCCTCATTTGTTGGTCAGTGAGGCAGCTCTTCTGTCACAGCTGTTTGGCCACCCACAGCACACGGGCTTGGCAACATCTGCAACCCAAACCAGAGCAAGGAAACGGGCTCTGGGGCTGGGCAACAGAAGAGAAAGCTCCGACAAGGCAGAATGCAGAAATTCGCTCACATTTTCTAGTTAATTTTTGTCTGAGGCCCCAAGTGGACAAAATATTGAACTTGAAAAAAAAATTATAAATCATTACGGCACCTACAGGAGGGAATGAATTATAAACATGAGAAAGGATCTCTAGAAAAACACTCCATAATTAATTGTTGTAAAGCCCAGCTACTTTAGCCCCCTCATTCACAATGACCCAACTCCAGCAACGTGGTTTTGGGGCTCTAGTGAGGCTTCCCTGGTTTGCCAAGCTCATAATTTCACTGCCTTGGAGCACAAGCCTGTGAGCTTCTCCAGGGCACTGCAGCTCCCTGGGCACAGAAGCAGCTTGACCAGCTCAGCCAGCCCAGAAACATGGAATCACTTTGCTTGGAAGAGATTTTTAAGATCAAGTCCAATTGTTAACCCAGCGCTGCCAGGTCCCCACTGACCCATGTCCCTCAGCACCACATCTCCATGGCTTGGAAACCCCTCCAGGGATGGGGACTCCACCACTGCCCTGGGCAGCCTGGCACAGGCCTCCATAACCCTTTCAGTCATGACTTTTTTCCTTATGTCAAACCTAAACCTCCCCTGGCGCAACTTGAGGCTGTTGCCTCTTGGCCTATTGCTTGTTCCTTGAGAGAAGAGCCCGACCCCCACCTGGCTCCAGCCTCCTGTCAGGGAGCTGTGGAGAGCCAGAAGGTCTCCCCTGAGCCTCCACAGCTCCAGGCTCATGCTCCTCCCCACACTTGGGCTCTAGACCCTTCCCCAGCAGCTTCATTGCCCTTCTATGGCCATGCTCCAGCCCCTCAAGGTCCTGCGTGGAGCGAGGGGCCCAAAACTGAGCCCAGGATTTGAGGGGCAGCCTCCCCAGTGCCCAGTCCAGGGAGATGATCCCTGCCCTGGTCCTGCTGGCCACACTTGCGCTTGATCCAAGCCACGATGCTGGTGGCCATCTCGGCCACCTGGGCACTCGCTGTCTCACCTTGAGCCAGCTGTTGAACAACCCTGTCAGGTCTTTTTCTGTTGGGCACTTTCCAGCTCCTCTACCCCACCCTGGAGCATTGCAGGGGGTTGCTGTGACCCAAGTCAGGATCCAGCACTTAGCCATGTTGAATCTCATCTCACTGACCTCAGCTCATCGATCCAGTCTGGCCAGATCCCTCTGTAGAGCCTCCTACCCAACACATCAACACTCCCCCAAAACTTGGTGTCATCTGCAAACTGACTGATGGTGTCCTCAATCCCTTTGTCCAGATCATTGATAAAGATATTGAAGAGAACCGACCTCATTCACTGAGCCCTGGAGAAGGTCTCAGTCCTCTCCCACTCTCCTGCAGCCTGGGCTCCTGGCTGCATCCACTGCCAGAAAGAGTGGGCAGGCTCATCCCTGGTCTAGAGCATGTGCCAGGGAGAGCTCAGAACCCTTGCTGGTCACAGGATTTTCCCTGCCAGTCAAGCTAGTCGCTGCTTGCCTTCTAACCACCAACCTGACCCTGGAGCTTTCACGGAGAAACCCAAGAAGCTGCAAACCTAGCTGGGTTACTGCTGCCCTCGTGTTGAGGAGAACGCAGTGGAGATATTTGTTAAGCCTGTGGGCCTTGTTGCCCTGAAGTCTCACCTGCACACAACTAGAGCACCCACGTCCCCATTCTGACAATGAATCAGCACCTGAAGAAGCTATAAGGGAAGGGAAACTTCTTCCTCCTCCTCAGGATGTGAATATAGAGGGAAAGACACATTGGGAACCAAGAACAAATCCTTGTGCTCAGCCCTGTGCTGCCAGTGCAGGAGGAGATTAACCCCATTTCCCCCCTGCATTGTCACATGCTTTTCATGTGCATGGAGACAAATCCCACATTATAAATATGGAGAAGTGTTTGCTGATCAGACTGGAGAGGAGTTGGGGTGGGAAAAATGGTTCAGGAAGAAACAAAAGCCTTGCTACAGCATCGTCACAGTTTAGGGCATCCCAAACACACCACCCAGCCACAGCCCTCAGCCAGGACAGTGACCTCAGGCAGAAGTCATATGCCAAAGGTTACACTACATGCCTGAAGTTCCTTTGATCAAATAGATACTTTCTTTTCCGAAGAAAGCCAGCTCTATCCCCTGCCCAGCTGGGGTCAGCTCCATTTCTCACGCACTCTGCAGCACAGTCCCTCTCCTCCTGTCACCCCCCTGCACTCTTGTGCATCTCTTGGCATCAGGGGCCACCCTGGTGGGCAGGAAGCCACCGTGAGAAACATCAGGCAGACCCCGATCACACAGGAATTTCAGAGGTGTAGCTGAGTAACTACACACCCTGGAACAAAACCCCTCTGCACTGTCCTCTACACAGCCACTGGACCTGCTCCTGGGTTAGATCCCAGCTGTTGAACCCTCCAGAGGCTGGGAAAGGAAGAAGAGGTCACAAAGCACCTTGCCGCTAACTCTGGAGTCCATCAGCTCTTAAAATCTGGACACGTGTGGTGGGAAGCAGGTCTTCTAAGCCTGTGGACCTCAACACAGAGCACCTTTGCTTTAACCTCAGGACTGCCTTCAGTTTTCTCTAGCCCAGGGACAAAACTGAATGATGTCCATCCTACCAGACCAGGTAAAGGAAGGCATGGAGCACATGGAAATGGCTCCAAGGATTTGCCAGCCTGCAGTCTGGCAGAGTTAGCACGCTGTTGGTTGGACCAGCACTACAAGCAGGAAGATGGTCAGTCCCAGAAAGGGTGAGAAAGGAGAAACCTTTACCATCTGTGGCCCCTCAACATGATGGACAGGGAGGGTCTGGAGCAGCCTTTCAATGACTGATGCTTCAAGAGCAAAGAAATCATAGAATCATAGTTCTGGTTGGAAGAGCCTTTTAAGTTCAAGTCCAGCAATTCCCCCAGCACTGCCAGGTCCCCACTGCCCCATGTCCCTCAGCACCACATCTCCATGGCTTGGAAACCCCTCCAGGGATGGGGGCTCCACCTACAACCTGGTCTTCACAATTTCAAGTACACAATCAAAATCACAATTACAAGTACACAATCACTTTGCTCTCCAGGGTCACAGGATGGGTTGCTACCAAGAGATTACTTAGGCTTTGATACTTGCCTCCTCCACCACCTCAGGCTACCAGCAGCAAGGGCTGGGCACAGAACATACCACTTTGTTCAGGTTTTTTGCTCCCTTTGTCCTGCCAGCAGCTGCTCTACAATATATTTTTAAGTTCTCCACTGCAGCAACAGAGCTGCAAAGCTGCAGGCAACTTGTGGGCAACCTGTCCCACCAAGGCTGCCCAGCTGGGGACAGAGGAACCAGAAATGGAATTAGAACGTGACCTTTCCAGGCAATTCTGTCACAAGACCCACTGATTGGCTCCAAAATACAACAAAATCTGCTCCAAGGCAAGCAGTTGCTGCTGGGCCGAAGCCAGCAGCAACTCCTGCACCCCTCCAACAGGTCTGAAAAAAGAAAGAATACTACAGGGCTTTGCAAGGTATTCATCCAGGTTATGTACATTTCAGCCTTTCCCAGAGCCCAGGCCAGGAAGGAGAAAATCCCTCTGGCTGCATTATTATGGGAGACAATAGCTCTCCATGTAGAAACCAAAATGCTTCTTGCTCTTCACGGGGAGCAACAGGAGCCATTAATCCAGCTGGAAGAAATCACAGTCATTATTAAGGAAAATTACAAGACCTTTCACTTTTAAATACTTGATAAATAACTATTAGCCTGACTGTTTACTGGGATGCTATTCACGCATTGTAATCTGGGAATAAACACAAAAATAAGGATATTGTCAGCAATAAAACAAGTAGATAGTGTCTCACCCACTCCCAGACCCTGTAATTCACACACAAAACCCTTCGCTCTCATCACTTTCTTGTAAAGATTTCATTATACTGCTGTGCTGTTCAATTGCATAATAAGACTTCCAAAACACAGAGCTGTTATTAATTTTTTTGGACCGTGCCAGAGCCTGGTAGCACAGATGATGCTACTGTACAAGGTGCTGTGCAGCTGTAAAATAGGAAAGTCTTCCATATTATAGTTATAGGAAAAACATGCTAAAAACTAGGTCACTAAGTGCCTCTAATAATTAGAGGTGTCCTCCTTAGGAGCCTACATCTCTAAGCCAAGCTCAAGGTGGCACCCAAGCGTTTAAGCACACCCATACCCACCCAAGCTGCTGTTTGGGTGCCCAGCTGTAGGTACATCATTTCCATTTGCCACCAAAGAGCTTCTCACCCTTCCCTTTACGTGTCCCAGGTGAACTTGCTGCAACCTGCGTGCATGGGAAAGGCTCCAATTGTGTATGCTGGGCACCAAGCCACAGGGATGCAACCCACACGCTGTCACGGGCTGTCCCAGGGGTTGCTCCATAGAGCACGCGCTCACAGCGCTCAACTGTGCCATCCTAATTTAAGAAGAAGTGTTTGACCTGCTCCCAGAAGTCCCCTGAGCCTTGTAAGCAGCTAAAAGGAGGAAGAGAAGCTAAAATGAGCATCATGTT